TCGTTTTGCAGCAAAGGTGGAACGAACACAGAACGAGGGACAACGAAAGCAAAACGAACACGAAAAGCACTGTTTCGCTCGAGCCCTGCCACCAGAGTGGTCTGGTCTGTGCGAGGCGATCAGAGGTAATCTTGCACCATCACCTCTTCACCTCCTCGCCTCCTCGGCCGAGCACGCACCCGCGATCGTCGCGGCTTGGGGATGTGGCGAGAGCTTCGTGTCGAATGGGAGTGTGCTGCGCCTCAGGTTGTGGCGCTCGCGGCCAGCAGGTTCCAGGATCAGGCTCGGTGCAGCACGTTGCTGCAGCCGTGGCAGGCTCTCCTTGCTCGGGAACGGCTCGGCCGTCGGAGGATGTCGCCCTCCCGATCGGGGGAAGGCCAACTTCGCTGAGAAACCACCGCCCGTCGACATGGTTAAGACGATGCTCGGAAGGCCCGAGTTGGCGGAGTTCAGCCCGGAGCCCGCGTTGGTCGAGGTGCAGATGGAGCACGCCAGGAGCACACATCCTGGGCGTCGCGTAATGGTGGGGCGATACATCGCAGGCCATCGAGGGCTGCAGAAAAGGGGCCCTTCGGGAGCCCCTGACGGGGCCCTGTACAGTCGGGGCGCTGAGGAAGGAACCCTTTTCGTTGGGGAGGGGCTCGGTGTTCCTTAAGTGTTTCACAGCTTGCCTCAGGTTTTCCTTCTGTTTTCGATGGGAAGTCGAAGTTCAACTTATGGAAAACAGGGGCCTCGTTCCTTATTTAGGGTTCCTTAGGTCAACGCCCCGACTGTACATCGCAGGCCATCGAGGGCTGCAGAAAAGGGGCCCTTCGGGGGCCCCTGGCGGGGCCCTTCAGGGTCCAAACGGGGGCCTTTAGTCCCTGCCCCCCCCCCATCGGCCCACGGCCAGCCAGGACGAGCCGCCCTTCCGACCCTTCCCCTGCCCCTTCCTCTTCGCGGGGGCGCAAGCCGTGTTCGCCACCGTCTCTCATGACGGGCGACCGTGCAGCTCCGACGGATGGAGATGTTCGCCCCTGATTTTCCAGCATGCCCTGCTCCGATGGCGTGGCCGGTCTGCTTCCACGAGAAACGCGCGGCCGTCATCGCTGCGTCACGCCGCCGCGACTGCACGCCCCGCCCGTGCTGAGATGGGCGTTCTGCGCGCGAGGTCCCCGTTCAAACGCGGCGTCTCCCGGGCAGGCTGGCCAGGGTGGAGGCCGCTGCCTCCAGCCTCGCCACTCCTCCGCGGAGACTCCTGGGACCGAGGGCCGCCCACGTCCGTGCTGGTGTCTTCCCCCGATGGCCTTCGAGGCAGGCCCGACGGGGGCAGCCAGAGGTCCGGGCGTCGCTGGATGGGGGGGCTGAGTAGAACGGTGCGCTCCTCGGGGCCGAAAGGGGGAGGAGAGGAATTGCCAGGAGGAGCGCGCAGCGACCAGCAAGGAGGACTCGAGCAGCCAGGAGGAGGGCGCAGCGGCAGAGGATGAGCAGGGAGCCGCCTGCTGGATGTCTGCAACCTGCGTGCTGCTGCAAAACGAGCCCAGCCTGACCTCGAATCGGCTCGGCAGGTGTAGCTTTTTGCAGCGTCTCTCAAGCTCTCTGGGAGCAGCCCTACCTCACCATTCGCGATTGTCTCCCAGACTCGTGAGGCATTGTCGTGCGGGACCCTGTGAATTCAGCCACCCGTGTTTTCTGCATGGATCGTCCGATGCACATGCGCGAGATTGGAGCCGAAGCGTGCATTCTTCGCGTGGCGTGGCGTGGCGTGGCGTGGCGTGGCGTGGCACGGCGTGGCGTGGCGTGGCGTGGCGTGGCAATGCGTGGCGTGTGTGTGTGTGCGCGCGCGCGCGCGTGCGTTGGCGTGTGTGTGCGTGTGTGTGTGTGTGTGTGTGTGTGCCCCGGTAATTCTTCGGCGCTGTCTCGCTGGCCTCGGGTTACCTCCGCCCTCGTGGGTGCCCAGCCCACCGATGGGGCGACCTCTGGGCCTGCCCGCTGCGTTCGCGGCCCCCCGCTACCGTGTGGCACGTGGCTTCCTGTTGGCACGGCCGGCTTCCGCCGGCGGCGTTTGAGCGCTTGACCTGGCCCTGGGGCTGTCCCCATCCCAGGGCGTCCGGCACCCGTTCTCGCAGGCCTAGAGGTTGACACCAACACCAGTATCGGCGGTGTGCCTCCACCGAGGGAAGAAGATCCCGATCTCTCGGTGATGGTGGTAACATTCTGGCTTCCAAGGTGACCGAAATATTACAACCAACACCGATTCCCCCTGTGGAGGCAACCCCCTGTGTTGGTGTTGGTGCCAACCCGGCGCGGCCAGGGCCCTCGTTCCCCCCCCGGGTGCGGCCGTCACCCTCTCTTGCCTCGCCCCGCCCAGCCGCCGCCGCCGCCGCCGCCGCCACCGCCGCCGCCGTCGTCGTCGTCGTCGTCGTCGTCGTCGCCGCCGCCGCCGCCGCCGCCGTCGCCGTCGTCGTCGTCGTCGTCGTCGTCGTCGTCGCCGCCGCCGCCGCCGCCGCCGTCGTCGTTGTCGTCGTCGTCGTCGTCGTCGTCGTCGTCGCCGCCGCCGTCGTCGTCGCCGTCGTCGTCGTCGTCGTCGCCGTCGCGTCGTCGTCGTCGTCGTCGTCGTCGTCGTCGTCGTCGTCGTCGTCGTCGTCGTCGTCGCCGCCGCCGCCGCCGCCGTCGTCGTCGTCGTCGTCGTCGTCGTCGTCGTCGTCGTCGTCGTCGTCGTCTCCGCCGCCGTCGTCGTCGTCGTCGTCGTCGTCGTCGTCGTCGTCGTCGTCGTCGTCGTCGTCTCCGCCCGCTTGCTGGAGGCCCCCTCTCGGGGTCCTTTGCCATCTCGGGGTGCGGCCCGCCGACCTCTGCTGCTGCCGGCGCCGGCTGCTCCTGTCCGCCATGCGCCATGCCCAGCCTGCAGGGCGCTCCCCCCTCTGCCCGTTTGCTGGCTGGCGCTCCTGGAGGGGTTCTCCGAAGGGCTCAGGCGACCCGTCCTCCGCCTCCTCCTCCTCCTCCTCCTCCTCGTCCTCCTCCTCCTCCTCCTCCTCCTCCTCCTCCATCTCCTCCTCCTCCTCCTCCTCCTCCTCCTCCTCCTCCTCCTCCTCCTCCTCCTCCTCGGGTCGCCTACGGCCCTGGGAGAAACCGTGCAGGCGCTCCCCCCTCTGTCCGTTTGCTGGAGGTCCCTCTTCGGGGCCTTCTCTCACGCTGGCTCGCTGCCGCTGTCGGGGTACAGCCCGCTGGTCCTCGCTTTTCTTTGCACTGCCAGTAGCTGCCTGGGGTGCAGCCTGGCGGGTTCCTGCGGTGCGGTGCGGTGTGCCACGCTCTGCTGCCCCCCCCTTGCAATGGGTGTACAGCCCCAGGTGCTCACACGTGTCTCAAGCTGGCCAGCCGCCTGTCTGCAGTGTGTTCCTGTCCGTGGGCCCCCTGGCCAGGTATGCCTGCTTCCCTTTTGGGGCAGGATGCCTGTGCGGGGCCACTCTGCGGCGGGTCTCTGGGTCCGGTCTCGCCTTCGGGCGCCCGGTCACACCCGCCGCGCTCCTCCTCCCTACCTTACGTCTGTTCGCTCCAGTGGTCCAGCGTGCGCCCTGTGGACTGTGGCTCCCCGCCGCGCCCACCGCGCCGTGGATCAGAGCTTCCTCGGCCCCGACGGTTGGCACCCCGATTTGCCAGGGCGCCGACGCCTCGCCTTGTGGCGCCACCTCGAGCTTTTTGTTCATTTCTCGGGCGGTGTCGCCTAGCACCTGCGCTAGGCGCCCACTTTCACCCTGTGTCTCAACGGCGGTGGGCGCACTGGTGCGGCGTCGGGCCTGCAAGCGGGCCGCGCGGAATCACGTTCCGCCTACTCTGGGTTTCTTAATAAGGGTGGGGGAGTACCCCCCCAACGGGGGTCAACTTCGCCTGGTCGTCGCGCCGCGACGGGGGTTCGGAGCGCCTTCGGCGCGCGGTGGCTGCCCGCGACGGGGGTCGATGTGGGGCTTTCGGCGAGGGTGACGCCCCCCCGACGCTTACTTCAGAGACTTATGCACGCCTGCTCTCGCCACGCTGTGCTCCCCGCGCACGCGCCAGTCGCCCGTGCAGCTGGACTTGCGGCCCCGCATCCTCTCTGTGTCTTTTGCGTCTCCCTGCTCCGGCCGTCCGCTTCACGCTGCCTTGCGTGGGCCGCGGGGGTGGCGAGGCTCGGGCACGACTCCTCTGCTTGCATCTGTGCGTGTGGCTTTCTTACATCGCCACCTGCGTGGCCTTTCTGGCATCTTCCATGCGCATCCGCTTCTGCGTTTTTTCTAGCTGGCCTCAGCCTCCGTCCTGGCCCCCCAGGTGCAACGCGAGGAGGTGATCGAACCAAGCGCGCCCCGCCTCGGTGCGCGCTGCGGTGGTGCCACGTGCCCGCTGGAGGAAAAGTGTGTGTGTGTGTGTGCGCGCACGAAATTCAGTGGCGCGACGGCCCTCCTGTGCATGGTGTCTCCCGCCCGGGAAGCACCAGCTGGGGTCTCTCCCTACGGTAGGTTCGTGTCGTGTCGACCGGCGGCGACCCCGCCAGCGGCGTTCAAGGTTGAACGCCGCGGGCGACCCAGAATCGGTCGATGTTGAACGATCGGACGTTGCGGCAGCGGCCGATCGTTCAAGGTTGAACGATCCAGCGCGGTGTCAGAAACCAACGCCGGGGTCGACACGACGCGAACCTGCCGTATTTGGGATTCGCCTGCACAGTCCTGCTGCCCCACCTCGCCTCGGGCGCCACTGCCTCATCCCTCTCTGCGCGCGGGCCGCTCGCCCGCTCGCCCTTCCCCCCGTTGGCCCGCTGGTTGGCCCACGCTGCTGCGGTATCTCTGTTTTCCTTCTCGGTTGCCTCCCCGCTGCGCCTTGCTTGCTGCTTCGGATCGGCACTTTTGCGCTGCCCCGGTTTTCCCCCCCCCTCCTTTCTCCCCCTCTTTCCCCCTCTGTCCCTCCACGGCGGCCCCCCCGTGAGTGCCGTTGTCGATCCCCCTATGGGTGGATTTTCCCCGCTACGTGAGCTTGGCTGGTACGCGCACTCGCTTGACCTGTCTTACGCCGCGTCGGCGCGCGCGTGGCCGCGACGCAATAAGCTGTGTGTGTGTGTGTGTGTTTGTGTGTGTGTGTGTGTTTGTGTGTGTGTGTGTGTGTGTGTGTGTGTGTGTGTGTGTGTGTGTGTGTGTGGGTGTGCGTCTATCTGTTGCCCGCGCTTGAGGACCCTCTGCACCGCTGACTTAAAAAGTGAGTGTGTGCGCGTGTGTCTGTGTGTGTGTGTGTCCATTTGCTTGTATACAAATAAACAGATGTATATTTCGAGATAGAGAGAGAAGAGAGAAAGGGAAATGAAAGGAGAGAGAGAGAGAGAGAGAGATCTGAAGAGAGAGAGAGAGAGAGAGAACGAGAGAGGGGAGACAGAGAGAAGCAGGCCATGAGGGGATACAGGCAACTGAATTTCAAGTCCTACGAGGTTGTTGTCTGGATCACTGGTAACTCGAGGCTCCCTCGCGTCCGCCGGGAAAGCGGCGCGCGTGCGACGCTTGTCCGCCTGCGTGTCTTGTCAAGGTGACATCCTGATTGCCTTCGTATACGTGGTCCCCTAAGCATACAAAACCCTTCTCCCTGGTGTTGGTCGTCTTCATCGTCGTCCTCCCCCCCGCTCCCTGCCCCTTCTCCTCCCCCTCCTGCTCATTCGCTTAAGGTTTCTCCTCATCCTCTTCCAATTGCTATTGCTCCTCATGCCAATCCTCATCCTCCTCGGCATCCACTTCTTTCTCCATCGTGGTCTCTCCCGCCATTTTTCCATCCTGTCCGCCTTCCCCTCCCTCGCCTTCTGCTTCCTACCTCCTCTTCCGTGCCCTTTCTTGTCTCTTCCTTCCTCCCTCACTGTTTCCTTTTGCCGCATCCTCATCCCCTGCCTTTCCCCCACCCCCTTCTGGCCGTTTCGTTTTTCCTGGCCCTCATCTCTCCTTTTCCCCCCCTTGCTCTCGTCGGGCAGGAAACGGAGACCACCGCCACCGAGACCTCGTCGGGGCGGGGTTGGCGATCCATGGGCGGTGGCACGCTGGAGCGACACTCAGCAGCGTACCCGGACGACGCCTGCGCGTGCCGCCGCCAGGGTCCCGCCCGCCCCCGATGGCTTCTCGGTGGCGCTGGCCTCTGATCCTCCAAGGATCTCCCCTGCTCCTCCGACCTGCTCCTCCTTCCGACCTGCTCCCTCCGACCTGCTCCCTGCTTCCTCCCGCCTCCCCCCTCCCCCCTCCGTGCTCTACTCCTCTCTCCCTCCTGGCCGCGTCCCTCCCCCACTGCCCTGCTCCCTGCTCCGCCCTCCCCCGCTCCCTGCACCCTGCGCATCCTGTGCTGAGTGCCTGCTGGTCGTTGTGCTTCCAGGTTGGATCCTGGGGGAGGAGGAGGAGGAGGAGGAGGAGGAGGAGGAGGAGGAGGAGGAGGAGGAGGAGGAGGAGGAGGAGGAGGAGGAGGCTTCGCGCAGTCTTTGCCCGGGGGGCAGCGGCAATCAAGCAGCGACGGCCATGGCGGTCACCGCGTCTGCTCCTGGCCACGCGGGCAGGGAGAGAAAAGGTCTCAGCGGCCATCCCCCTCCTCAGCCATTTTGGCTCTAGCAATTTTCGGTGATCTCGAACGTCTGGGCCGACCGAGCCATCTCGCAGTCTTTGCCCCAGGGGTAGTGGCAACTCAGCAGCGACGGCCATGGCGGTTACCGCGTCTGCTCTTAGCCACTTGATCTCTTTCGAGGCTGCTCACATTACGAGCCACCAGCAGGTCTCTGGCGGCGGCGATGAGCTCAAGCTGGTGAAGGAGCTCGGCATATCCGCCATTTGCATTGTGGGTGGTGCTATGCTCTGCATGCTGAAGAAGTTTCCTCAGCTGATGACGCCGGGCCTTCTGATTATCTTTTTCGGCGCCCAGACTGGTATGAACATGTACATGAAGGCAGTTTTTTCGTCCGCCACCGTTCTCAATCCAGCGCCCGCGGAGTACTGTGCAGATGCTGGGGATTCATGCGCTTGGATGGGCTTCCAGGCCTCGTTCTTCGTTACCGGGATACAGCAGTTCGGCGGGTTCATCATCTTCTGGTTGCTCTTCCTCCCCGCGAAGGCGCTCGGCTTCAACAAATTGGGCGAGAAAGAGATCGAGATCAAGAAGCTGACCTCAAAGAATGAGGTCATCGCGGTGCTGTGCTTCGCGGCAAGTTTCACGATGAACATCGCCCTGAACAACATGTCCATGGCGCTCATCCCCTTGACGCTGAATCTCATCATCCGCTCGTGCCTCCCCCTCTCGACCTTCCTCGCGCAGTGGCTCCTCACCAAGTACACGACAGGCGAGGGGAAGCCTTGCAAGGCAATCGAGATCGGGTTGATGATGCTAGGCGCTGCGATGATGTGCGTGTGCGTCTGGGCCAAGATTGCCGCCGAGGCCGAGGGCGAGTCCCACAAGAAGGCGGGAGCTGGCGAGTCCGCGAAGACCGTGATCGGCGTCATATACTGCGTGGTGTCCCTGTTCTCGGGGAGCGTCAACCTGGCGCTCGCTGGGATCCTGAAGACCTCCGTGAAGCTGGACGGGTTCAACACCGTGGTCTACAACTCCATCCCCGCCGCGATCATCCTCCTTCCCTTCGTGTTCTTGCTGCAGCACCCCGTGAAGCACTGGGACGGGGTCGGCTACACGAACGACGCCTGGGTCGTGGGTCAGGTCTGGGAGCACAGCAAGTCCACGTTCATCTTCGGCGCCAGCTCTGCCCTGGCCTCGCTGGTGTACAACATCCTGCAGTTCAGCATCGTGCAGTACCTGTCGGCCACCCACGTCGCGTTCGCGGGCAACTTCAACAAGGCCGCCACCGTTCCGCTCGCCCTGCTGGTCGGCATTGACCACCTGCCGCAGGCGCCGTACGGCTTCATCATGGTCGTCTCGGCCATCATCAACATCATCTCGTTCGCCGCGTACAACGTGGTCTCCGGCGGTGCTGGAGGCCACGGCGGTGGCGGCGCCAGCAAGGAGGCGGTGAAGGAGAAGGAGCCCATGAAGGACGCCGAGAGCAGCGACGACGACGACGACGACGAGGACAGCTCGGAGGGCGGCTGCTGCTGAGGGGGCCGCGGAGAGGCGCGGAGGAGGTGGAAGATCGGCCCATCACTCTCCCGACACGTTTTTTTTCCGTCTCTGGATTCTTGACCGGCCTGCACGGCTCCAGGCAGCCGCGCGGGGCAGTGGAGATCTCCACTGCGGCCATGCGCGGCCGGAGCGCCGCATTTCAGTTCCAGCCAGGCCAGCGCAATGACATAAACAGAAAAACTCGGAGGTCCGCGCGGATTGCTCGGATCGGCGCTGGGGCCTCCTGGCGGCGCCTCTGGCGCCGCCCCTGGCGCGCTCCCCGCGCCAGGGAGGGGGGCCCAGCGCGGATCCATGAAACCCGCGCGGACCTCCGAGTTTGTTTTTGTCGTTCTCGTTCCCCTAATATGGCAGCTATCCCGGTGTCCCCGGGAGCGCAAGCCCGCATCGTACCAGATGCTCCTCCCGCTTTAGATGCCCTGCATTCGCGCTTGCACCTCTTCCCTCCTCGACCTTGGGTTAGCAGGCGCTCAATGGTCCGAGGCGTTGCTGCCGAGCCTCCCTCTGGCCTCCGCTGGTCCGCCAGAGCTCAGGCTTTGCAGTTGCACGGCCCTGTTGGGCCCTCCTCTGGCCTCCCATGGTCCGCCAGGGTTTGGGCCCTGCAGGCGCGAGTTCTGATAATGCCGCGCTCGCTGGCGGCTGACGCAGGCCTCTACTGGCCCGTCTGCCTCTCGTGGCCGCTCGTGGGCTGGACAATGGCCATCCGTCAGAGTGCTCCCTGCCAAGCCGGGCACGTACCCGACGAAGGAAGGGGGCGAGTCAGATTCCCACACCATCGGAAGCTGAGTGTCGCACAATGTAAGAAAACGACAACAACAACTCGTCCCCCTCCTCCTGTCGCCGTCGTCGCCTGTCGTGTTTGCTTGCTTGATTGCGTGCTTGCTTCCTTGCTTGCCTGCTTGCCTGTTTGCTTGCCTGCTTGCTTGCTTGCTTGCTTGCCTGCCTGCAGAAGCAATTCAGGGCAGTTTTCAACATGAACCACCAGATAAACTTTCACTTCTATCAAGCTTTGCTTGGCCTTAGGCGGTACCTCCTTAAAGAGAGAGTCGTCGGTGCTATTTGTGCACAAGAGGGAGGGAGGGGATCTCGAAGACATCTCGGGTGACGTGTCGGCGCTATGGGAGGGTATCCCCCTTACGCTCCAGCATCAGTGCAGACAGCAGCCCGTTAGCTACCAAGGGCGCACAGCTTCTCTCACAGTTTCGTACGTCAGTTAGATACGGCAGTTTCGCGTCGTCTTGACCTGCGGTGATCCCACCGCTGGCGTTCAACGTTGAACACCGCCAGCGACCTAGAATCGGTCGATGTTGAACGATCTGCCGTTTCGGAAACGGCTGATCGTTCAAGGTTGAACCATCCCCGTAGTGTCAGGAACCAGCGCCGAAGGCAGCACGACACGAACCTGCCGTGGGGATGCACCCCGAACAGGGCAGATTCACTTTGCAACACGTTGAAAACAAACCATCACATCTCACTATTCTTTCACACATCCTTCTTCTTAAGAGGCGTGCGAGTTTGCAGAGTCCAGGGATCAGAATTCATATGTCTGGTCAACGTTCTCGGCTTGAAGCATGCAAATGGGACTTCCCAGTTTCAAAGTGCAGCTGAGCATCTTTCGGACATATGATGAGGTCTCGCAGAGTTTTCATAGGATCCTCAGGGATCTACAGAAATGCCTCCTCTGGCCTCCAGACCTCATTTGAGCCACCCCCATCAGCCACCAACCCACCTTACTACCCAAGCTCGACACCACGCCCACTGGACCTCGGCAGCCATGCATGTCAGCCGTCAGACGAGAGGTCCAGCGGGGGAGGGGGGTGCGGGGCGGGGCGGGGGAGAGGAGGTGATGAGGAGGAGGAGGCGGAGGAGGAGGAGGAAGAGGAGGAGGAGGAGGAGGAGGAGGAGGTCGAGGAGGACGCGGAGGAGGTCGAGGAAGAGGAGGAGGAGGAGGAGGAGGAGGAGGAGGAGGAGAAGGAGGCGGATGAGGAGGAGGAGGAGGCGGAGGTCGATGAGGACGAGGAGGAGTAGGAGAAGGAGGAGGAGGAGGAGGAGAAGGAGGATGATCAATGGGGGATACGAGAGGTGCCCAGCCTAGAGAGGGCGGCTGTATGACCAACATCCGCACGTAGAAGTGCCTTGCCCCACCCGGCTTCAACCCCGACCCCCGCCCCCGTCCTGTAGAACAGTCCTCGAGGGCTACCAGCTTCCATGATGCCCCACGTTGTGTTACGTTTTGTGACTTTCTAGATTACGTCTTGCACTTTCGTATTCCCACGTTTTGTTACGTTTTGCCCCAGTGCCCCAGCGCCCGTGTGGTTCCAAACGTATTCGCTTTGCTTGTGAGCCTCGACGGGAAGTACAAATGCATTCGCGAGATTAGCTGCCTCTCGATATCCAGGGTCTGGGCTTGTGGAGTTTTGTATCTCCCCCTCTTTTTCCGTTTCTATTTTGGCTCAAACCATTTTGGCTCTAGCAATTTCCGGTGATCTCGCACGTCTGGGCCGACCAAGCCATCTCGCAGTCTTCACCCCGGGGGTAGCGGCAACTCAGCAGCGACGGCCATGGCGGTTACCGCGTCTGCTCTTAGCCATTTGATCTCTTTCGAGGCTGCTCACATTACGAGCCACCAGCAGGTCTCTGGCGGCGGCGATGAGCTCAAGCTGGTGAAGGAGCTCGGCATATCCGCCATTTGCATTGTGGGTGGAGCTATCCTCTGCATGCTGAAGAAGTTTCCTCAGCTGATGACGCCGGGCCTTCTGATTATCTTTTTCGGCGCCCAGACTGGCATGAACATGTACATGAAGGCAGTTTTTTCGTCCGCCACCGTCCTCAATCCAGCGCCCGCGGAGTACTGTGCAGATGCGGGGGATTCATGCGCTTGGATGGGCTTCCAGGCCTCGTTCTTCGTTACCGGGATACAGCAGTTCGGCGGGTTCATCATCTTCTGGTTGCTTTTCCTCCCCGCGAAGGCGCTCGGCTTCAACAAATTGGGAGAGAAAGAGATCGAGATCAAGAAGCTGACCTCAAAGAATGAGGTCATCGCGGTGCTGTGCTTCGCGGCAAGTTTCACGATGAACATCGCCCTGAACAACATGTCCATGGCGCTCATCCCCTTGACGCTGAATCTCATCATCCGCTCGTGCCTCCCTCTCTCGACCTTCCTCGCGCAGTGGCTCCTCACCAAGTACACGACAGGCGAGGGGAAGCCTTGCAAGGCCATCGAGATCGGGTTGATGATGCTAGGCGCTGCGATGATGTGCGTGTGCGTCTGGGCCAAGATTGCCGCCGAGGCCGAGGGCGAGTCCCACAAGAAGGCGGGAGCTGGCGAGTCCGCGAAGACCGTGATCGGCGTCATATACTGCGTGGTGTCCCTGTTCTCGGGGAGCGTCAACCTGGCGCTCGCCGGGATCCTGAAGACCTCCGTGAAGCTGGACGGGTTCAACACCGTGGTCTACAACTCCATCCCCGCCGCGATCATCCTCCTCCCCTTCGTGTTCTTGCTGCAGCACCCCGTGAAGCACTGGGACGGGGTCGGCTACACGAACGACGCCTGGGTCGTGGGTCAGGTCTGGGAGCACAGCAAGTCCACGTTCATCTTCGGCGCCAGCTCTGCCCTGGCCTCGCTGGTGTACAACATCCTGCAGTTCAGCATCGTGCAGTACCTGTCGGCCACCCACGTCGCGTTCGCGGGCAACTTCAACAAGGCCGCCACCGTTCCGCTCGCCCTGCTGGTCGGCATTGACCACCTGCCGCAGGCGCCGTACGGCTTCATCATGGTCGTCTCGGCCATCATCAACATCATCTCGTTCGCCGCGTACAACGTGGTCTCCGGCGGTGCTGGAGGCCACGGCGGTGGCGGCGCCAGCAAGGAGGCGGTGAAGGAGAAGGAGCCCATGAAGGACGCCGAGAGCAGCGACGACGACGACGACGACGACGAGGACAGCTCGGAGGGCGGCTGCTGCTGAGGGGGCCGCGGAGAGGCGCGGAGGAGGTGGAAGATCGGCCCATCACTCTCCCGACACGTTTTTTTTCCGTCTCTGGACTCTGACCGGCTTGCACGGCTCCAGGCAGCCGCGCGGGGCAGTGGAGATCTCCACTGCGGCCATGCGCGGCCGGAGCGCCGCATTTCAGTTCCAGCCAGGCCAGCGCAATGACATAAACAGAAAAACTCGGAGGTCCGCGCGGATTGCTCGGATCGGCGCTGGGGCCTCCTGGCGGCGCCTCCAGCGCCGCACCTGGCGCGCTCCCCGCGCCAGGGAGGGGGGCCCCGCGCGGATCCATGAAACCCGCGCGGACCTCCGAGTTTGTTTTTGTCATTCTTGTTCTCCTAATATGGCAGCTATCCCGGTGTCCCCGGGAGCGTAATCCCGCATCGTACCAGATGCTCCTCCCGGTTTAGATGCCCTGCATTCGCGCTTGCACCTCTTCCCTCCTCGACCTTGGGTTAGCAGGCGCTCAATGGTCCGAGGCGTTGCTGCCGAGCCTCCCTCTGGCCTCCGCTGGTCCGCCAGAGCTCAGGCTTTGCAGTTGCACGGCCCTGTTGGGCCCTCCTCTGGCCTCCCATGGTCCGCCAGGGTTTGGGCCCTGCAGGCGCGAGTTCTGATAATGCCGCGCTCGCTGGCGGCTGACGCAGGCCTCTACTGGCCCGTCTGCCTCTCGTGGCCGCTCGTGGGCTGGACAATGGCCATCCGTCAGAGTGCTCCCTGCCAAGCCGGGCACGTACCCGACGAAGGAAGGGGGCGAGTCAGACTCCCACACCATTGGAAGCTGAGTGTCGCACAATGAAAGAAAACGACAAAAACAACTCGTCCCCCTCCTCCTGTCGCCGTCGTCGCCTGTCGTGTTTGCTTGCTTGCTTGCCCGCCTGCTTCTTTGCTTGCCTGCTTGCCTGCTTGCTTGCTTGCTTAGAAGCAATTCAGGGCAGTTTTCAACATGAACCACCACATAAACTTTCACTTCTATCAAGCTTTGCTTGGCCCCAGGCGGTACCAACCTAAAGAGAGAGTCGTCGGTGCTATTTGTGCACATGAGGGAGGGAGGGGATCTCGACGACATCTCGGGTGACGTGTCGGCGCTATGGGAGGGTACCCCCCTTGCGCTCCAGCATCAGTGCAGACAGCAGCCCGTCAGCTACCAAGGGCGCACAGCTTCTCTCACAGTTTCGTACGTCAGAAAGATACGGCAGGTTCGCGTCGTCTTGACCTGCGGCGACCCCACCGCTGGCGTTCAACGTTGAACACCGCCTGTCGACCTAGAATCGGTCGATGTTGAACGATCTGCCGTTTCGGAAACGGCTGATCGTTTAAGGTTGAACCATCCCCGTAGTGTCAGGAACCAACGCCGAATGCAGCACGACACGAACCTGCCGTGGGGATGCACCCGGAACAGGGCAGATTCACATTTGAACACGTTGAAAACAAACCATCTCATCTCACTATTCTTTCACATATCTTTCTTCTTAAGAGACGTGCGAGTTTACAGAGTCCAGGGATCAGAATTCAGATGTCTGGTCAACGTTCTCGGCTTGAAGCATGCAAATTAGACTTCCCAGTTTCAAAGTACAGCTGAGCATCTTTCGGACATATAATGAGGTCTCGCAGAGTTTTCATAGGATCCTCAGGGATCTACAGAAATGCCTCCTCTGGCCTCCAGACCTCATTTGAGCCACCCCCATCAGCCACCAACCCACCTTACTACCCAAGCTCGACACCACGCCCACTGGACCTCGGCAGCCATGCATGTCAGCCGTCAGACGAGAGGTCCAGCGGGGGAGGGGGGTGCGGGGCGGGGCGGGGGAGAGGAGGTGATGAGGAGGAGGAGGCGGAGGAGGAGGAGGAAGAGGAGGAGGAGGAGGAGGAGGAGGAGGTCGAGGAGGACGCGGAGGAGGTCGAGGAAGAGGAGGAGGAGGAGGAGGAGGAGGAGGAGGAGGAGAAGGAGGCGGATGAGGAGGAGGAGGAGGCGGAGGTCGATGAGGACGAGGAGGAGTAGGAGAAGGAGGAGGAGGAGGAGGAGAAGGAGGATGATCAATGCGGGATACGAGAGGTGCCCAGCCTAGAGAGGTGCCCAGCCTAGAGAGGGCGGGGCGGGGGAGAGGGGGGGAGGAGGCGGAGGCGGAGGCGGAGGCGGAGGCGGAGGAGGAGGAGGAGGAGGAGGGAGGAGGAGGAGGAAGAGGAGGAAGAGGAGGAGGTCGAGGAGGAGGAGGAGGAGGAGGAGGAGGAGGTCGAGGAAGCGGAGCAGGTGGTGGAGGAGGAGGAGGAGGAGGAGGCGGAGGAGGAGGAGGAGGAGGAGGCGGAGGATGAGGAGGAGGACGACGATCAATGGGGGATAAGAAAGGTAGAGAGGGCGGCTGTATGACCAACATCCGCACGTGGCAGTGCCTCGCCCCACCGGGCTTCAACCCAGACCCCCGCCCCCGCCCTGTAGAACAGTCCTCGAGGGCTACAAGCTTCCATGAAGCCCCACGTTTTGTTACGTCTTGTGACTTTCTAGATTACGCCTTGCATTTTCGTATTCCCACGTTTTGTTACGTTTTGCCCCAGTGCCCCAGCGCCTTTGTGGTTCCTTTCGTCTTCGCTTTGCTTGTGAGCCTCGACGGGAATGTGCAAATGCATTCGCGAGAGTAGCTGCCTCTCGATATCTAGGGTCTGGGCTTGTGGAGTTTTGTATCTCCTCCTCCTCCTCTTCCTCCGTAGCCATTTTGGCTCAAGCCATTTTGGCTCTAGCGATTTCCGGTGATCTCGAACGTCTGGGCCGACCAAGCCATCTCGCAGTCTTCACCCCGGGGGTAGCGGCAACTCAGCAGCGACGGCCATGGCGGTTACCGCGTCTGCTCTTAGCCACCTGATCTCTTTCGAGGCTGCTCACATTACGAGCCACCAGCAGGTCTCTGGCGGCGGCGATGAGCTCAAGCTGGTGAAGGAGCTCGGCATATCCGCCATTTGCATTGTGGGTGGTGCTATCCTCTGCATGCTGAAGAAGTTTCCTCAGCTGATGACGCCGGGCCTTCTGATTATCTTTTTCGGCGCCCAGACTGGCATGAACATGTACATGAAGGCAGTTTTTTCGTCCGCCACCGTCCTCAATCCAGCGCCCGCGGAGTACTGTGCAGATGCGGGGGATTCATGCGCTTGGATGGGCTTCCAGGCCTCGTTCTTCGTTACCGGGATACAGCAGTTCGGCGGGTTCATCATCTTCTGGTTGCTTTTCCTCCCCGCGAAGGCGCTCGGCTTCAACAAATTGGGAGAGAAAGAGATCGAGATCAAGAAGCTGACCTCGACGAATGAGGTCATCGCGGTGCTGTGCTTCGCGGCGAGTTTCACGATGAACATCGCCCTGAACAACATGTCCATGGCGCTCATCCCCTTGACGCTGAATCTCATCATCCGCTCGTGCCTCCCCCTCTCGACCTTCCTCGCGCAGTGGCTCCTCACCAAGTACACGACAGGCGAGGGGAAGCCTTGCAAGGCAATCGAGATCGGGTTGATGATGCTAGGCGCTGCGATGATGTGCGTGTGCGTCTGGGCCAAGATTGCCGCCGAGGCCGAGGGCGAGTCCCACAAGAAGGCGGGAGCTGGCGAGTCCGCGAAGACCGTGATCGGCGTCATATATTGCGTGGTGTCCCTGTTCTCGGGGAGCGTCAACCTGGCGCTCGCCGGGATCCTGAAGACCTCCGTGAAGCTGGACGGGTTCAACACCGTGGTCTACAACTCCATCCCCGCCGCGATCATCCTCCTCCCCTTCGTGTTCTTGCTGCAGCACCCCGTGAAGCACTGGGACGGGGTCGGCTACACGAACGACGCCTGGGTCGTGGGTCAGGTCTGGGAGCACAGCAAGTCCACGTTCATCTTCGGCGCCAGCTCTGCCCTGGCCTCGCTGGTGTACAACATCCTGCAGTTCAGCATCGTGCAGTACCTGTCGGCCACCCACGTCGCGTTCGCGGGCAACTTCAACAAGGCCGCCACCGTTCCGCTCGCCCTGCTGGTCGGCATTGACCACCTGCCGCAGGCGCCGTACGGCTTCATCATGGTCGTCTCGGCCATCATCAACATCATCTCGTTCGCCGCGTACAACGTGGTCTCCGGCGGTGCTGGAGGCCACGGCGGTGGCGGCGCCAGCAAGGAGGCGGTGAAGGAGAAGGAGCCCATGAAGGACGCCGAGAGCAGCGACGACGACGACGACGACGAGGACAGCTCGGAGGGCGGCTGCTGCTGAGGGGGCCGCGGAGAGGCGCGGGGGAGGTGCACGCATGCACGCACGTCGGCCAGCGACTGGCAGCCCAGGCTCGCGCGACGGCCTTCTTCGCCGTGCTGCCAGCCGCAGCACCTCTGGGGCATGCCGCCGGGCGCGGTCTCTCTGCTGGGCCAATGTCCCACCACCACTGCCATGGGCAGGACAGGGGGGGGGAAGGGAGGCTGGGGAGCTCCTCCTCCTCCTGCCTATGGTAGTGGTGGTGGAAGATCGGCCCATCACTCTCCCGACACGTTTTTTCCGTCTCTGGACTCCTGACCGGCCTGCACGGCTCCAGGCAGCCGCGCGGGGCAGTGGAGATCTCCACTGCGGCCATGCGCGGCCGGAGCGCCGCATTTTAGTTCCAGCCAGGCCAGCGTAATGTGGCAGCTCTCCCGGAGTCCCCGGGAGCGCAGGCCCGCATCGCGGGGGTTCGTAGAGGGGGAGGGGGGTTCTCCCGAGGTGGGGTCAGGGAAGGACCCCAGCCGGATGCTCACATTATCTTTCTTCCAGGGGCCGTTCAGGGCGATTTTCTTCTAGCCCCACCTTTACGCCCCCCCGAGCATCGTACTGGATGCTCCTCACGGTTTAGATGCCCTGCATTCGCTTGCACCTCTTCCCTCCTCGACCTTGGGTTAGCAGGCGCTCAATGGTCCGAGGCGTTGCTGCCGAGCCTCCCTCTGGCGTCCGCTGGTCCGCCAGAGCTCAGGCTTTGCAGTTGCACGGCCCTGTTGGGCCCTCCTCTGGCCTCCCATGGTCCGCCAGGGTTTGGGCCCTGCAGGCGCGAGTTCTGATAATGCCGCGCTCGCTGGCGGCTGACGCAGGCCTCTACTGGCCCGTCAGCCTCTCGTGGCCGCTCGTGGGCTGGACAATGGCCATCCGTCAGAGTGCTCCCTGCCAAGCCGGGCACGTACCCGA